ACAAAGTTTTAAAACGCACATGCTGGCTATTATTCTTCCCATTAGATTTTTTGTCTAACCACCTCCTCGTTGCCGTCGCCATCTTGGTTTTCTTAAGGTCCTTACATTAGTCACTTCTATTTTCGCTTTGATTCTTGACTTTATTTGTGCAGTGGTTATGATGATGGTGTATGCGACGATGAAAACCGGGAATATTTCAAAGGCAGGACTTAAATGTTTGTTGTGGTTAGCATGTTTATGATAAAAAATCCCGTTGTTTTGTTGGCCTTAATATGTATCAAATTTTAATTGTCTCTCAGTTACTCTCTAAGAAAGTTAACTTTAAAATATACATTACAAGGCTAATACTACCTACAGTGGTAACACAAGTTACATTGCTTATATTTTAAAATTAAATTACGGGGGCTGATTGTACTAACTTATTTCTTAAAATTAGCTACAAGTTGTACTTTGGTCTTTTTTCTAATCAGTTGTTTTTATTTTATAAATTCTTTTCTTTTTCTTTCTTTGGCTTAATATATGTTTTACATATAAACGAAGATCTGGTTTCAAAGTCGGGGCTCAGCAAAGATAGAAGAGGCTTCCATTTTTCTGTGTTGCTTGGTGTCCTGTTTTCTATGTGATGCATATTGTAGGCCTTGAGATAGTCACCAGCACATGGTACATTCAATTTTCTGCAGTAGAAATATTATACCGTTGAAACAGGATTATTTCTATTTAACAATTATTCGCCGAAGGCGAGGTGAATATCGTCGAATAATTCCCGAGACTTCGTCTCGGGGATTATTCGACAATTCTTACCGAACCTGAGGCGAATCATCGTTTTAGTATAATTTCAGAGCAGAACAACAGAGAAATCTCTAAAATCATAACATTTTAGTAACATTTTAGTTTAACATTTTATATAAACCTCGTGGAGCGGTTTATGTAGCGTCATATAAGGAACCGCTCGACCAATCAGATTGTAGGAAACTCTTTACTCAGCTCTGAAATTATACTAAATAACGAATAGAACTTCATAGAGCTGTCTTTAGCTAAGCCCCATTCGTTAAATATTTTGAGCAATTGAGAGAAGTCATATCTCCAAGTGGCCTTGTATTTATTAGATAAGCACTGATACCAAACCATTTAACTTTAAATTTGGGATCAGTCATCAGTGTTTTTCACATTTGAGAGGATTTCCCTGCGATTCCTCAGAGAGATTCCTCTCTCATGTTTTGTTCTTGATGAAATAATGAACTATGCAGTCATTTCCATATATTAATATTATGCCCTGGGGACATGTATTTAGGAATATAAAGGACCACGTTGGGACCACCTCTTGCTTTCTACTCTAGGCCGCCGTTTGGATTAGATCTATCTGCTTAGCTGGCACTCCAAAACCCGTTTTCCTCGCTTAATGGCTGAACAAGTGCCTGCTCCTCCGGCACCAAACCAAGTGCTAGATGTTGTTAATATCGCTCCAGCTCCATCAGTATCAGCTCCGGAGCCTGTCCTTGCAGTTCCAGTAGTTCAGGTAGAAAACCCGTTTCCCGCTGCAGCCAACAACATTACCCAGAACGCAGCGCCTGAGATAACTACTCCGAACGTTTTAGTTGGGTTTAAGTACACGTGCCTTTTTAGCGGTGGTGACTTTGTTTGTTGCTTATCGCTTCGGCTCTCACGGCGGTAGTAATTTCTCTTGTGCTCAGGTTTGCTCTCACCTTTCTAGCTCGTTAACATTATTTATAATATAGCCTTACAAAAGCGCGCGTTCTGATTGGCTCATACGATCGATCCATTTGCTCGTGGGTTACAAGCTGACGTCAGTTTGTTTTGCTTTTTTTTTTTTCCCGGCAACTTTTTCGTCCATCTTGCCACTACATACAACATAGTTCCTGTTTTATGTGGGATTTTTGAAAGTGAAATATGAAAAAATCTTGTAACTTTTCCGGAGATGAGGAAGATGATTCTTGTGAGCAGCCAAGTTTCGAGCTAAATTGTTTTGACGGGCCTCCAGGTAAGAGTTCGAGATTTGCGAACTTAAGCGAGCAGGAGCTTAACCAGCTGCTTGAACAAAGACACTCAGAAAAGGCCAAGAAAACAACAAACTGGTCTGTATCAACCTTTCGAGGTGAGTAATAAATAGCATCAATTTTAGAAAGTGTGTTTCAGCGCTTTAGAAATAATAAACGTTTCCGGCGTGGGAAACCATTTAAATGCCTCCGGCGATCAAAACTGTACTTGTGAGCTGTTCAAAATGTGCTTTCCCATAAGCCTTAGTTGACTGTTCTTTTACTGTACTAAATAAATTATTAGTCCGAGATCGAAAAAACGCAAATTATTTCACCGCAATGATTCAGGAAAATTGTTGCTGTGTAGCTTTGTCAGTTTTTGAATGAAAATTT